CTCAGCAGAAACCTACAAACTAGAAGGGATTGGGTCCCTACCTGCTGCCTCTTAAAACAATTATCAGTCAAGGATTCTGTATCCAGCAAAACTAATCTTTATAAATGAAGGAAAAATAGTCTTTTCCAGACAAAAAAAAATGCTGAATTTGCCACTACCAATCCAGCACCACAAGAACAGCTAAAAGGAGCTCTAAATCTTGAAACAAATCATGGAAATAAATCAAAACAGAACCTCTTAAAACAGAAATCTCACAGGACCTATAAAACAAAAATACAATTAAAAAAATAAGGTATACAGGCAACAAATAGCACAATGAATAGAATGGTACCTCACATCTCAATACTAACATTGAATGTAAAGGGCCTAGATGCTCCACTTAAAAGGTACAGAATTGTAAAATGGATAAGAATTCACCAACCAACCATCTGCTGTCTTCAAGAGACTCACCTATCACCTAAGGACTCACATAAACTTAAGGTAAAGGGGTGGAAAAAGATATTCCATGCAAATGGACACCAAAAGCGAGCAAGAGTAGCTATTCTTATGAGATAAACGTTAAAGTAACAGCAGTTAAAAAAGACAAAGAGGGACATTATATAATGATAAAAGGCCTTGTCCAACAGGAAAATATTACAATCCTAAATATACATGCAACTCACAGTGGAGCTCCCAAATTTATAAAACAATTACTACTAGACTCAAGAAATGAGATACACAGTAACAAAATAATAGTGGGGGACTTCAATACTCCACTGATAGCACTAGACAGGTCATCAAGAGAGAAAGTCAACAAAGAAACAATGGATTGAAACTATACCCTGGAAAAAAATGGACTAAACAGATATTTACAGAAGATTCTACCCAACCACCACAGAATATATATTCTATTCACTATCAGTGCATGAAACTTTTTCCAAGATAGACCATCGATAGGCCACAAATCAAGCCTCAATAAATTTAAGAAAACTGACAGTATATCAAACACTCTCTCAGACCTCAGACCACAGTGGAATAAAACTGAAAATCAACCCCAAAAGGAACCTTCAAAACCATGCAAATACATGGAAATTAAATAACATTCTCCTGAATAAGTCAACAATGAAATCCAGATGGAAATTAAAAATCTGTTCAAACTGAACAAAACAGTGACACAACCTATCAAAACCTCTGGGATACAGCAAAGGCTATGCTAAGGGGAAAGTTCATAGCCCTAAATGCCTACATCAGAAAATCTAAAGGTACACAGACAATCTAAGGTTACACCTCAGGGAAGTAAAGAAACAAGAACAAACCAAACCCAATCCCAGCAGAAGAAGGGAAATAACAAAGATTAGAGCAGAACTAAAGGAAATTGGAACCAAAAAAAAAATACAAAAGATAAATGAAACAAAAAGTTCTTTGAAAAGATAAATAACATTAATAGACCATTAGCAAGATTAACCAAGAAAGAAAAAGAGAAAATTCAAATAAGCGCAATTAGAAATGAAATGGGAGATATTACAACGGACACCACAGAAATACAAAACATGATTCAAGGCCACTATGAACACCTTTATGTGCATAAACTAGAAAACCTAAAGGAGATGGATAAATTCCTGGAAAGATACAAACCTCCTAGCTTAAATCAGGAAGAATTAGATACCCTTAACAGACCAATAACAAGTAATGAGATTAAAACTGTAATAAAAAATTATCAACATAAAAACGTCCAGGACTAGACGTATTCACGGCCAAATTCTACCAGACATTCAAAGAATTGGTATGAATCATATTGACACTATTCCACAAGACAAAGAGGGAATCCTCCCTAAATTATTCTATGAAGCCAGTATCACCCTAATACCAAAACCAGGAAAAAAACATAACCAAAAAAGGAAACTACTGACCAATATCCCTGATGAACATAGATGCAAAAATCCTTAACAATATACTAGCTAACCGAATCCAACGACATATCATGAAGATAATCCACCAATATCAAGTGGGTTTCATAACAGGGATGCAGGGATGGTTTAATATACACAAGTCAATAAATGTGATACACCACATTTAAAAACAAAAATTACATGATCATCTCAACAGACTCAGAAAAAGCATTTAACAAAATCCAGCACCCCTTTATGATTAAAACTCTCAACAAAATCAGCATACAAGGGACATACCTCATTGTAATAAAAGCCATCTATAACAAACCCACAGCCAACATAACACTGAATGGGGAAAAGTTTAAAGCATGCCCTCTGAGAACTGGAACAAGACAAGGATGCCTACTCTCACCACTTCTCTTCAACATAGTACTGGGAGTCCTAGTCAGAACAATCAGACAAGAGAAAGAAATAAAGGGCATCCAAATCAACAAAGAGGAAATCAAATTGTCACTGTTAACTGACGATATAATTATACACCTAGAAAACCCTAAAGACTCCTCCAAAAAGCTCCTCGAGCTAATAAAAGAATTCAGCAAAGTTTCCAGACACAAAATTAATGTACACAAGTCAGTACTCTCTTATATACCAACAGCGACCAAGCTGAGAATCTAATCAAGAACTCAACCCCTTTTACAATAGCTCCAACAAAAATAAAATACTTAGGAATATACCTAAAAAAGGTGAAAGACCTCTACAAGGAAAAAAACTACAAAACACTGCTGAAAGAAATCATATACAACACAAACAAATGGAACCATAACCCATGCTCATGGATGGGTAGAATCAATACTGTGAAAATGACTATACTGCCAAAAGCAATCTACAAATTCAATGCAATTCCCATCAAAACACTACCATCATTCTTCACAAAACTAGAAAAAAAATCCTAAAATTCATATGGCACCAAAAAAGAGCCCACATAGCCAAAGCAAGATTAAGCAAAAAGACCAAATCTGGAGGCATCACATTCCCTGATTTCAAACTATACTATAAAGCCATAGTCTCCAAAACAGCATGGTACTGGTGTAAAAACAGGCACATAAACCAATGGAATGCAATAGAGAATCCAGAAACAAACCCAAATACTTACAGCCAACTGATCTTCGACAAAGCAAACAAAAACAAAGTTGGGGAAGGACACTCTATTCAAAAAAATGTGCTGGGATACTTGGCAAGCCATATGTAGGAGAATGAAACTGGATTCTTATCTCTCACATTATACAAAAACCAACTCTCAACGGATCAAGGACTTAAATCTAAGACCTGAAACTATAAAAATTATAAAAGATAACATCAGAAAAACCCTTCTAGCATTGGCTTAGGCAAGGATTTCATGACCAAGAACCCCAAAGCAAATGCAATAAAAACAAAGATAAATAGCGGGGACTTAATTATACTAAAGAGCTTTTGCATGACAAAAGGAATAGTCGGCAGAGTAACCAGACAACCCACAAAATGGGAGAAAATCTTCACAATCTATACATCTGACAAAGGATTAATATCTAGAATCTACAAGGAACTCAAATCAGCAGGAAAAAAACAGTCCCATTAAAACGTGAGCTAAGGACATGAATAGACAATTCTCAAAAGATATATAAATGGCTAACATGAAAAAATGCTCAACATACTAATGATCAGGGAAACACAAATCAAAACCACAATGCGATACCACCTTACTCCTGCAAGAACGGCCATAATAAAAAAATTTTAAAAAAATAATAGATGTTGGCATGGATGCAGCGAACAAGGGACACTTCTACACTGCTGGTAAGAATGTAAACTAGTATAACCACTGTGGAAAACAGTGTGGGGAAGTCCTTAAAGTACCAAGAATAGATCTACCATTTGATCCAGCAATCCCACTACTAGGTATCTACCCACAGGAAAAGAAGTCATATGAAAAAGATAGTTGAACATGCATGTTCATACCAGTACAATTCACAAGTGCAGAAATGTTGAACCAATCCAAATACCCATCAATCAACAAGTGGATAAAGAAACTGCAGCATACATATGATGGAATACTACTCTGTCATAAAAAGGAATGAATTAATGGCATTCACAGCAACCTGGATGAGATTAGAGACTATTATTCTAAGTGAAGTAAGTAAGGAACGGAAAACCAAATATCTCATGTTCTCACTGATATGTGGGAACTAAGCTATGAGGATGCAAAGGCATAAGAATTACACAATGGACTTCGGGGACTCAGGGGGAAAGGTTGGGAAGAGAGGGAGGGATAAAAGACTACAAATTGGGTGCAGTGTATATACTGCTGGGGTGATGGGTGCACCAAAATCTCACAAATCACCACTGAATAACTTACGTAAACCAAACACCACCTGTTCCCCAATAACCTACAGAAATGAAAAAAAAATTTTAACTATTTTACCATCAAATACATGCAACTTATGTGGAGTGGAGTCTCTTTTTAGGGCCACATGCTGTTGCTGTGGTGCATCCATTAAGTCATTGGTGTAAAACTTCATTTTTGCTAAGAGAAAGAACTTTCTAATTTTACTCAACTATTGGAATACTAAGGGGCAAAATGCAATAGCTACAAGTTTTGTCCTGCAGAGTAAGTGATGGGTAATGAACTAATTAATGAACTAATTCCGTTGGAAGGGATTCCGGAAAAATACTACCTTGCAGGAAGCTGCCCTCCCCATAGCAAGCCTAGGAGCTGATGGTATGATGTCATCATGACGAAACTAGGTACTTCAAGCACTGTCTGCTGAACAGAACTGCCTACCCCAGTGGAAGCGCTTGCGTTAAGTGCCACGCGTAAATGCTAATACATCCCAACAAATTAAAGCAGAGCAAAGAAGCTTTAAAAACTGTAGGTAAAGTAAGACCTGAGGGGGAAAGGAACTGCAAGTTAGTGCTGCACTGGAACCGAGAAGCCGCCCCCAGTCGGGAGGGAAGGAGGTGGTGATGCTCAGGGCCAGAGCGGGGGCGTCTGGAGAAGCCGGGTGGAAGCGAGTAGACACCCACTGCGAGCACGAAGAGAGCGCGGCTGAGGGTGGCAGGGCCCACAGCCGCCCGGACCAGGGCCCGGCCCGTACCCACCTTGCCTCCAGCAGCAGCGGGGTCTCCGGCCACTTCGCGGCCAAGTGGGCCGTCACCGACTTGGACGCGGCGACCGTCCCGGCACCGAGCTGCGAAAGCCACAGCGCGGTAGAGCCCAGGAGCAGCTGCACCACGTTCGTGGCCTTCGCTGGCGCCATGGCACGGAGACGAAAGCGCGAGTCCCTCGGACCCAGCACCCACAGTCTGCGGCCGCCACGCTTCGGACGGCTCTTCCCGGAGCGCTACTGCCCACTTCCGGTGGGGGGAGCTGGAGTCCGTTACTGGGTGCCGGGTCCGGGCCGGCGCATGCGTGTCCCGCTCCGGCGCGGTTTAGTGGGTGCGGCCTGGTGAGCCCACGCCAGCCGGACACTGGGCCACGTCCGAGCCGCCGGGGCGGCGCCGGGTTGTTGAGCGGCGTCACAGATGCTCCCACGGGTCCGATCCCGGGACCCTGGGTTCTCGGACAGAGGCCTTGGGACACTGGGCGGGAAGCGGGCTCTCCAGACCGAACTAGGGCTGGCTAGAGTTGCCGAAATCTGGAAGCAAAGTCAGGACCGCTTGGATATTGTCCACCTTTTACATAGGAGTAAAATAAGGCCTGTAAAAGTTGAAGTCCCCACCTCACGCAGTTCTCAAGTGTTACTACAGATTGGAATCACCTGGGAGAGCTTTTAGACCACCGCCGCCGCCAAGGCCACGCCCCATTCCTGAGAATCTCGGGACGGGGGTGAGATGCGGCATCAATAGTGTTATTTAAAATCCGCAGGTGATTCCAGTGTGCAATCATGTTAGGAAACCCGTGACTTACGGGTGGCTCTCAAACCGAATCACTTGCTTGTTAAAACACTGCAGAGTGGCGGGCCTCCCCACAGTGTTTCGGATTCAGTAGATCCCTTGTGGGGGCCGAGAACTTGCATTTTATTTCTGCCAAGTTCCGAGTTAATACTAGTGGCTAGAAATCACACTTGGAGCCTTTTCCATTCGAAGGTGTGGTCCAGGGTAGGCACAGGCTGTGAACTCAACAGAAATGCAGAAGCTCAGGCCCTGCCCCAGACCTAATGAATCAAGATCTCCAATTTAACGGAAACCACAGGTGATTCCTATGCACATGAAAGATAGAGAAGTGATTTAGAGGATTAATGTAAACGTGCACAGAAAAGTGCTGATAAGCCTGAGCATAGTGGTTCACACCTGTAGTCCCAGCATTTTGGAAGGTCGAGGCGGGAAGATCGCTTAAGCCAAGGAGGTCCAGGCTGCAGAGAGCGGTGATTGCGCCACTGCCCTCCAACCTGGGCGATAGAGGGAAACCCTATCTCAAAAAAATTTTTAAAAAATTAAAAAAATTAAAAGCCCAATAAGTGATAGTTGTTTTGACAGAGTAAAATATATGGTAAAATAGTTTATGGGACGCACGGATTCATCGCTTTTTTTCTCTCCTGTTACTCCTTTGCCCTGTAGGGAAACTGGATCTCTTGAAGTTGCAGAAACATAGTCATTCCCTTTTTTCGTTTCATTTGCTTAGTCAGTACCCTTCCTTAGAAGACCCTATTCCACTAAGCAATTCTACGAATTTTCAGAATAATTTCTCACTTCCAAAGTTTAGCCTTCATTTCCTGATTTATCCTACTTGGTATGATCTATCCTTCCTTTACATTTCCTCTTTATTGTAACTGCCTTATAGCACTTAAGTTCTCACTTTAATACTTGAGTACGGTACTTAATTTATTTCTCCTGTGAGAGATGGTATATTCCCCCAGAACTCATGCCTTGTTCATCTTTGGCATCCCTTGCAGTACCTAGCACAATACTTCACATGTTATTGGGGACTCCATGAAGATTGAAGAATCCTTGCTTTATGGAAAGAAAGTAGAAAGCTAAGGCAAATGCGCTTCATTTCTATCCGTAGTGTATACGAGAAAAATACATTACGAATCTTTCACAATTATTTGCTTTAATTAATTCCCCATTTCCACTCATATTTAGATCGAAATTTTTATTGAGATTGTGGGATTAAGGAAATAAAATATTGGCAGTGAATGTCTTAAATGTCAGCATATCCAATGGGCTGCAAATCTTTAAGAAACAATTGGTCATATAAAAGGCACATTAAATAGACTATTAAAGGACACTAATAAAATGTATATTAGTAAAAATTTCAGTATATGTGAATTCAGAATAGTGAGAATGCTCATTTCTCTTTTAAAGAGAATAATATTAATCCAGGCCATTTATGTATATATTTGTTATACATTTTATCTTACATGGTGTTCTCCTAGAAATTTTAATTTGGAACATTCCTCAGAATGATGATCCTCAAGCTTGTTTCCCCATCTACAGAGCAAAAGGATAAGACAATGTGATATTTAAGGTTCCTTCTATATGTGATTCCTATGTGCAGATTAAAAAAAAACTAAAATGCAAAAATTGAGTCAATTAGCAAAGTCCACTCAAGTCAGTGAAGTAGCAAAGTATTTTAAAATCCACTATCAATAACCCTTTGGCACAGATTGGCTTTGAACTAGGGACATAACTGTACCCAAGTCTTTTTAGCAAAATACAATACAAAAGTTATTCACTTCATGATAAAAGGAATGAAAATTGATGAAGGTAGCAGTTTCCATCATATGTGGAAGAAGTGATTAATGAGTGCTTTATAATAAGAATCTTGTGTTTAACAGAATAAATCATCTTGAATTTAATGGCATGTATTTAATGATGATAATGGCATGACGTGAGCATAAAGTTACTGCCAAATTATTGCATTATATAATAAAATTTTAATTTTCTAAGCCTACCTAAAATCCAGTGGGTGAAATCATTTTTAGAAGTATTAGTCTGTAGGTTTTCCAGATTTCCCTTATAAGAAAGACCCTATACTCCTATTCTCATTTTATTATTAAAAGATCTTTCGTCCTGGTGTGGTGGCTGATGCTTATAATCCCAGCTCTTTGGGAGGCCGAGGCAGGTGGATCACTTGAGATCAGGAGTTTGAGACCATCCTGGCCAACATGGTGAAACCTCATCTCTACTAAAAATACGAAAATTAGCTGGGTGTGATGACAGGTGCCTATAGTCCCAGCTACTCCGGAGGCTGAGGCAGGAAAATCGCTTGAGCCCAGGACGCAGAGGTTGCAGTGAGCCGAGATTGCGCCACTGCACTCCAGCCTGGGCAACAGAGCAGGACTCCATCTCAAAAATAAATAAATTAAATTAAAGGTCTTTTTCTTTTCTTCTCTTTCTTTTCTTTTTTCCTTTTTTTTTTTTTTTTTCTTTTTTGATATAGAGTCTCTCTCTGTTGCCCAGAGTGGAGTGCGATGGTTCCCTTGAGTAGCTGGGACCACAGGCACATGCCACCACGCCTGGCTAATTTTTTGTATTTCCTGTAGATGTGGAGTTTCACCATGTTGCCCAGGTTGGTCTTGAACTCCTGGGCTCAAGCGATCTGCGCACCCCTGCCTTTCAAAGTGGTGGGATGACAGACATGAGTCATCGTGCCTGGGTATTATTTAAATACCTTAAATACACAAAAGTTTTCTATTCATTCCAGTTGGGAAAAATTTAGAGACTTATGTAATTTGTTATATCACTATTCCCTAGACAAGATTATACCAAAATCATAATCAAATGAATATAGTTTAGGTTTTTGACATTTAATTTTAAGCTTTACCCTTTATAGCTTTTTTTAAAATGTAAGGGTCTGCAAGTTTGATATTTACAGGTTTGCATATTTTATTTAAGATAGATAATAAATGCCTCACAAATGTCTAATCCAAGTATGTTTGATGAATTTTTTTAGTGGAGCTTTTTACTACAGTGGCTTTCAAATAGCAAATAAAGGATGCGAAATATATAATTTTTAAATTAATCATTTTGGATGATATAAGAACTTGAGATTTGCTATTTAACAACAACCATCTATACTTATATGGTTAGATCGAAGTATTTTTAATGGTGGTAAAATACACATAAAACTTACCATTTTAACCATTTTTAAGTGTACATACAGCTCAGTAGTATTAAGTATATTCACATGGTTGTGCAACCAGTCTCCAGAACTTTTTCATTTTGCAAAACTGAAACTCTGCACCCACTAAACAAAAATGCTCCATTCTCTCTCCAGCCCCTGGCAACCACCATTCTACTTTCCATTTTTATGAATTTGACTATTGTAGATACTCATATAAAGAGAATCATACAGTATTTGTCCTTTTGTGGCCATCTTATTTCACTTGGCATTATGTCCTTAAGGTTTATCCGTGTTTGTACTATGTGTGAGAATTTCCTTCCCTTTTAAGACTGAATAATATTCCACTCTCTGTATATCCAACATATTGCTTATCCATTCATCCGTCCATGGACGCTTGGGTTGCTTCCACATTTTAGCTGTTGTAAATAATGTTGCTATGAACATAGGTGTACAAATACCTCCTCGGGACCTCACTTTCAATTCTTTTGGATAATCTACCCAGAAGTAGAATTACTGGATCACATGGTAATTCTATTTTTAATTTTTTGAAGAGCCACCATACTGTTTTCTGCAGTTTACATTCCTACCAACAGGGCACAAGCATTCCAATTTTTTCATATCCTCCACAACACTTATTTTCTGTGTGTGTGTGTGTGTGTGTGTGTGTGTAATAGCAGCTATCCTAGTGGGGGTGAGGCGACATCTCATTGTGGTTTTGATTTGCATTTTCCTAATTGGTGAAAGTATTTTGGAAACACAAGTTTTGGAACTCATTTCAGAGCCCATTTCTGAGCTGCTCAAGAGAATAATTTCCATAATTGTATAAATGCAAGACAATTTCCTTTATTCTCTATGTTTCACTGGATATATTGCTTAAAAGATTGACTTGGGCCAACAGTATCAGTACCTCCAAAAGGAGTAGCTTAAACTAGTAAGAGACTCCATTTTCTTTCTCATAAACCTGGAAATAAGTTGTCCAGAGCTTCTATGGCAGCTAATGGTGTCCAATCGTTTGTGTCTATCTGCCATCTTTGATGTGTGGGTTTTAATTCATCATCACAGATGGCTTCTGTGTCTCCAGGTATCATTTACATATTCTCGGCAAGCGGAAGGTGAAAGAGCAAGGGCGAAAGGCAAAACTGGGGTGTCGGTTGAATTGGTTATATTTGGTAAACTTTCCCAGAAGCCCTATCAAATAACTGCCCCTGATGGCCTATTAATTAGTTCTCAACCAGGTCTCTGCCCTGTGGTCATTTTTTGCACAACGAGAGGCTGAGAAATGTAATTTTATAGCTGGGCATACTTTCTTCCTCAAGAAAATTAGAGTTCTGTTAACTATGGAATTGGGGAGTGAAGTGTGTTATGTAGACCCCTGGCTGTGTTTGCTAAACTCGTGTATCCTTT